AGACTCAAAATTTTAACTACAACTGGTAAAGAATTCAATAGATCAAATTCAGTAAATCTGAAGTCACTGGAATAAAGGCCCCTCAGAAAAAAAATGTGTCAATTTTAAAGGTCTTTCCTAACTGAAGACCATTTTGTGATCGAGCCAAAGGTTAATAAAATCAGTAGTGAATGTAGCAATTTTACAGATAAGCTATTCACAACAAGTGTAGTTACTTGAATAAAAAGCTAATTCAGTTCTAAAATGCCACATGCAGTAGCAGTGAATAGCTGCTTTTAGGTGCTTTCCAGAGGAGGGTAAAATACAGAACCACAGCACTCTTCTCTCACCGCGTCCCCGGCTGCCTGTAAATTGCTGTGAATGGGGCTGTGGGCTGACAGGCTCTATTAAGACAAACTGCCTTTCTCATCGGAGAGATAAAATAAATCAGGTGTTTAGTCAAATTAAAATACTTCAGCTGGAGCAGGCCCTGGGGAGCACTGATCCACCTTACTAATCCGAAAGAAACTCAAGACAGATGTGGTTTGGGGATAAAGATGACCCCATGGAAGAAAAAAGGGAAGAAAGAAAAAACAGCCCCGCAGCTTGCAGCTCTGTCTCTGCAGTTGGAGAATAGATACAGTTTATGGTGGAGTGTCAGGCACACCCTGTGTGTGACATAGAATAAAAGCAGGCACACCGACTTGGAGAAAAATCTGTGTACAGAAGCTTTTCTTGCTGGCTCCCTTTTTGTGGTTTATGAAACACCTCTGGCTTTGTGTGGGAGTCAGAAGAAGCTGTTTTCTGGCAATGCGTTTGAGAGAGTTATTTTAAGATAGTCTAAAGATGTGAAACAGATGGCGTTAGGCTACCCATGACCTCTGCTGGCTCAGTGCATCCTTCGTCTCTGATATTTATCTATTTATCTATCTGTCTGTCTGTTGTCTATCTATCTGTCTATCTATCTATCTATCTATCTATCTATCTATCTATCTATCTATCTATCTATCATCTATCTAAGTTGGTTTTGTCAAATCTTAAAACATGATTTAGGATAAGATTTTTCCACATATCCTTACATTAATTGAAGAAACATCTTACAATCCTTTGCTTACCCTAACATACCCTGACTGTATTTAGGAGTTCCATATGCACCATTGACTGACTCTTCTTTCAGCCACTTTGGCTATTCTAGTTTCTCTGTAATAGTGGCCTCTCAGTTCAACTATGGGAATGAAATAACTTGTGTTCTCAGGTTGGTTTGGTCACTATGATTCACACTTGATATTATTTTTATTATAGCAGGGTAGATAAACACTTCGTCAGTTAAAACAGAACTATCTAGTGATTTTTAAATTAATTATGCCAAACTTATACAATGGGTATGAAACAGGTCACTCCCCCTGCCACACCTATGCATTTAGAGAGCATAAGCTATTGTATTGTTTGGATGCATTACTCCCTGATCTGAACTCAAGAGCTAGCAACATGGCTATACATAGGATATCTCATTCTAAAGGAATTTTAGATATGCTATGCTAAAATTGAAATATGCATTTCACCTAGGGCCATTTGTTGTGGCTCATAGCTATACAAACATTTGTCTATTTTCTATTTATCATCTATCAATCACCTATCACACATCATTTATATCTATCATCTATCATCTAGCTATCTATTACCTGTCATCTATATCTATCTGGCTATGTATCATTTATTATCTATCATCTTCCACATCTGTCTATAAATCACCTATTATCTGTCTGTCTATAATTTACCTTTTTATCATTTATATCAATCATCTATGAATTATCTATCATCTATCCATCAGTCTATTGGATAAATTTTATTTAAGTTTAAGGAAAAAATATTGATAGTATTATATGAGTACCTAAATCCTTAAATTACAAATACTACTGTCTCTTGTTTTATTTTACTTAAAGATCTGTCTAAGTCCAATGGAAGAGTTTTTAGGAGACAATGTTTACAATCAGTTTCACTATCTTCATGCTCTGTAAAATGGTTCAGCTAAGTGGTATTATTCTGTAAACTTAGGTCTGCACCAGGAGTCACCAAAGTATTTAGAGATAGCACTGTTGGCCTTTCCTTGAACAAGAAGCTGTCATTTTTACACTGTACTCAGCTTCTCTGTTTACCAAGCAGAAGAGAAAGGGAAATAAACGAAAGATTGTTGAAAAGGCTTTAAAACCAGAGAAAGGAAAATTTCACCTTCACTGAGAAATAAAAACATGAATCAAACTTGTGTGCCTTTGGTCCTTACCCAAAACACACCAAGGGGTGCTTTATTAGTCAAGAACAGTAGTAGGACAGCTGTCCCAGTTTTCAGCAAGCCTATTAACTCACCTCATCTAGTCAAATATAAGAAGAAAATTAATGAATTAAGGATAGGACAGAAACAATAGGCAATAAAGCGTGCACACTCTCCATTGATTTCAACACAGCCAAAGCTACCTGTTCTTAAAATATTAGCAATGTTGCATTATTTTCAGAATGAAGAGAGAACTCATAAAACATGGTCTACATAGGCTGAATGGAGTGACATTTTCCTGCCTCTTTAGCCTCATCTGGTACCCTTCTTTCCTTTATTTTCCTTGTTCATATTTAATCACCTTTATTTAATCTCTGAAACACACCAAAGCCGATATACCCCCAGCATACACATGCAGAACCTAAGCCTATATTGTGTGTTTTTTTTTTTTTCATTCTGGAAAGCTTTTGATTACCCACTACTCACAATCCTTCCCTTAACTATATATAGTTCCTTTGTCATAACAATGTTTCATATTTTCTACAAAGTTTTTTGATCAAAAGGCATTCCCACTCTTTACCTAGCTAATTCATGTTCCTCTTGTTCAATTGTTGCTCTTCTAGGATTCCTTCCTTGGATCCAAATGTGGGCCAACCTTCCTTAAAATACTTGATTTGCTTGCAAATTTGTCAGCAGTAGTTTATATTCACATGGTGATTATTGGATATAGTACCTGGCACATTGTTCCCATCCAAAAGATATGTACTGAATTAAAAAAAAGAATGAAATCAATTTCATTACTATGTCTTCTCATAGTAGTGAAAACATAGCTGGATCTTTTTGTGCTTTTAAAGATACTGCTTGATCTCCTTTGGCAGCCTACATTTATAGGTTTCTTATTTAATATTTCTGGGTTAAGAACTTTTTAAAACCAAATCTAAAATCCTACTGATGAAATAAAAATCCATTTTTTCTTCTTTAATGATTTCCAAGAGCTGTTCCTGATTCGCTGTCTATTTCAAATCATAATCAGTGCCTCTCCTTTCTTGTGCCTCACTCTTGTCTTTTCATTTCGATTATAGATACTCTTTCAGATCAGTCATGCTTTCAGGGACACAGGGAGGTCTTTTTTTTTAAGGATCCGAGTTGGTATTTAAAATCCAAAGGTGCTTTAGTTGAGTTGCTCTTCCGCAGACATGTCTTACCCTGAAGGAATCACATGCCAGCAAGGGCTAGCCAGCATCCTCTGGAGACACCTTTCTCCTAGGGGCCACTGAGAAAATAGGGACATACATAATTAAGATATTTTTAGCTTCTTGGGTTGTTCTGATGCTTTCTTAGAAGGCGTGGGTAGGGCTTTACAGGGCTGGAAGTCTCCCCTTCCACATTCACAAAAATCAGCACTCTTCATTCCCTTGACAGCTGCTGGCATCTTCCTGAAAAGCTTTCAAAGCATAGGTCTCCTCTTTATAATGAAACCAGTGAGGCTCCAATGCAGTGGCTGCAATCCTTATCTTACGCTGCGGTAAAATGCTCTAATTTAGATTCACAAAAGGATTCTGTCCCCTTTACTTAGGAGAGCTGTGCAATTTGTCCATAAAAGACTGTGCAGTGCCATTAACGCATACCATAAGTGCTCAGCGTCTTTGCGTTCATTAAACTGCACATCCTTATGCATAACCTTCCCAGCCTCTGAGCCTGTTTTCTTCCTTTGAAGAGTGACAAACGGCAAAAGGGTGAGGGGCCCCCAAGCAACATTGTTACCTTTGAGGAACGTGAAAACCTTGATTTCTAGCAAAACAAAACAAACAACAACAAAACCTCAATACTTTCTTACCTAAAGCAGTTTTTATTCTCTTGGAAAAAACTTGTTCTATGGCCAAGAGAGTGACCTCTTACCTCTGAACTTCAGACAGATCTTTGACAATAGAAAGCCTTTGAAGACAGTAACTAGGAAACTCCTTAGATAGTGTTTAGTGAACACCCACTGTATCCTTGCTATTGATACTGAGTCATCCAGGGGAGGGAAGTCATAAAATATTAAAATACTAAAAGTTTCTGAACTTCGGTCATAACCATAGAACTTTGCTTTCTTTTTAAAAGTTTCTTATTAGCACATATTAGTTATACATAATAGTATGGTTGTCACAATATTTTCATACATGTATATAGTGCATTTTGATGATACTCACCTCTCATTACACTCTGCTGTCCCCTTCCACTCTTGTTGATGTCCTTCCTTTTCTCAACTAGTCCCCCATGTGCTTTCTTGTCTTTTGTTGTTGTTTGTTTGTTTTGAATTTTGTTTTTTGTTTGATTTTCTTTTTATAACCCGAAGAGTTTAACTAGGGTTACTTACAGGGACGGACATGGGTAAGGCATCAATTACAGGAGCTGGAGCTCCTTATTCATAGCTACATCACTGAAGAAAATCTCTCTCCCTCACACAGGTACCATTAAATACCTATAGAACCTCAGATTCCTTGTTTGATCAAAAGACAGGCATTTTGTGAGAAGGAGTAGACTGCTCTGGTTTGGTTTTGGTTTTGGTGGTGGAAGGAGATTCTAGGTGACAATATGGGTCTGGGCATGGGGAGCACTAATTATATCACAGCACTCATGCGTTCCCAGTGGCATAGTCACTATCCTAGACCCTTATCTAAGAGGTTCTCCTTCTAAACTCTGCCTGCCTTTCTCTGATTCCTTTAGACATTCCTCAAGCTTGTGAGATTTCTTCTCGTTTCCCTTTTAGGTACACCCGAGAGCCTGGCGGAGAAGGAACGACAGCTCTCCACCATGATTACCCAGCTCATCGGCCTGCGGGAGCAGCTCCTGGCAGCGCACGACGAACAGAAAAAGCTGGCAGCCTCACAGATCGAGAAACAGCGGCAGCAAATGGACCTTGCTCGCCAACAACAAGAACAGGTGAGGCTTGCAAAAGGAGCCAGGGAATGGAGATGTGGTGGGGTGGGCGCCAAGCGCAGCGGGCAATCACACTGATTGGTCTATTTGTTGTAGGCTTTCTTCAGAAAATAGAATCAGGAAAATTCAAAAGAAGAAGAGGAGGAAAAGAAAGAAGGGAGGAGGGAGACTTCTAGACATCCAGGGTTCAAGAAAACTGAGGGCAGAGAAATGCATCCTAAGTAGCGAAACTGAGGGCAGGCATGACTTTTAGAAGATGTGGTTTGAATTACTTTGGTATAGCCATCTACAGAGGCGCCCAGCTAATCCCAGTGCTGACCGTAGGTTCTCTCCAGGCCTTCTCTAGAAAAGAAGGGATTATCTTCCAGAAAAAATTTGGGACCCTTCAGTTCACTGGCCCAGTGATTTTTTTCCCCTTTGACTTTAAAGTGAGAACCCCATGCAGTTTGTTCCCCCCAAATAGCCCTGCCTGGCTTATGATTACTTTCTAAGGTAATTCCTAATATTCCATCCCTCATCCATGTGAAGGTTGTGCTGGGTTGGATGGTGAGTTATAGTCACTTTCTTGAGTGCAGACAAGTCATTGAGAGCAAATGAATACCTGGCTCCTCAAGGACTAGATGTGATTGACTCAGAAATGAGAACGCAGAAGAAATATCCGAATTTAAATGCGTGTCTTTTAGAAAATGAAGCACTTTTACAAATGATTTTCTTGTCTCGCAGAGTGCATTAATATAACAATGATCCTATAGCATAGTCTCTCACACCCTAGATCAGACAGACCCAAATTAATGTGCAGTTTTTAGAAATCTGACATTATTACTGGAATTATCTTTTCAGTTAAATGTATTTTACAGGGATATATAGAGAAGTATATGCTCTGTTGATTTTAATGAGTTGTGACGTCTGGTATTTTATATGCTTGAGTATTTGCCCACATGTAGGAATATGGACTCAGCCTCTAATGGAAAATAACATAAAGGAACACTGTAAAAAATCAGAAGTTAGAATGTCATTTAGCCATCCAGAGATGACACAGTAATTAACTATTGACACTTGTGAATAAGCTAGCACAAATTAATCTTGACACATTTGCAGACGAGTGATATCTTACAGTGAACACTTTGTAATTATATTTCAAAATGAAAATTAAATGACACTTAAAACTAGGTTGTCATGCTCAATGAAGCGAGCATGTAGCTCAACCGATTGGCAAATAAAATTCAGAGTTTGAGCCACATGGTGCTTATGTACCATACTTCACTGTGTCAAACCCATGTATGTAGAGTGGATGATGGTAATTGCACCGTGGTGTTTCCGATGCATTTCCAGGCAGCACTTTATCATTTACGAGGGACCATCAATATTAGATGCCTGGTGGTATTTCACCAGTTTACTAAGAGGAAATAAATATGCAGAGGTTCCAGTGTCCACACCTAGAGCTGCAGAGTGAGTGGTCCATTTCTGATTTGAGTGACAGCAAGCAGAGTAAGAGCGTCCTAACCTGATTAAATCCTGTTTCTGTGTGGACTGGAAGCTCTTGGAAAGAGCAATCCTAGTTCTCAAACTGGAGTCCCTTAGAGGCCCCAGCATTACACTCCAGTATGACGCAGTTGTCAGCAGAAACTATGGAGCAGCATCAGGAAGTCTCCCATTGTGTTGTCATAAACTGGATGACATGATTGGTTTTTCCCAGGTTCTAGGTAAGGGAAAGTGACAGGAAAACCTAAGATGCATGTAGGTAGAGATTGGAGTCATCTGCACCCATTTTTACTCCGCACACAGCTCATTCTAGAATCCCTGGCTTTTGGAAATAAGCAGACGGAGGACTCACAGCACTATGGAATTTTGTTCTCCTGGTTGCTCTTGGGCTCTCCATGTTTCATTGTTTCACATGGAATACTCTGAAAGAACCCTATTTAGAGCCTAAGGCTATGGTCATCTGTGAGGTGGGCAGTGAGTGAGCAGATAGGAATGCTGACCCTGGTTAGTTAGGCAGCAAGCTCCACCTTCTTACAAAGATCTTTTGCCCTCCTAAGGGACAGAGGTGGTCTCCAGTAGGATTTGGATTTCATGGCTAGTATTTCTTTTCATAAACCAGACAACTTTTTAAGATGCTTCGTTCGATTGCTGTGCAAAGAAAGGGACTATAATACCTGTATGCAAATCCTGTACTATAGAACAAGTCCATTGCCGTCTTAGAACTGCTCTGTAGATCAGAGAATGCCATCCAAAAAGCTAAAGATTTTTGCTGTTTACCTTGTTTCTATGTCTCCTTGATAATATTTGTAAGTGTGTCAGGGCTAAATGACAGAAATAGATCTGTGGCACATTAGAAAGCCCTTTGCTTGCAGATTTTGCTTTTCACAGTCAGACAAACCTCTTTGGACAAATGTGGCTAGAGTTTTCCTGTTTATTCTGCAAGGATCTAGTTTCCAAAGTTCTGTAGTGGACCAGTCAATGCAGACTGAGGAGCTTGCTCTCAGCTAGAATACAAGAACACAAGACTGCAGTTTGCATCTCTGGATAAAGTAGAGACATGCCGCTGGCTCAGATGCTTCTCCTTTCCTCGCTGGTCCCACTGACTCCATTCAAAGGGAGTCTTTCACATTGAGGCCCAGTAAAGCATTCCGGCAGTAGCAGGAGAGATGCGGAGATAATGGCAAAGATGCAAGCATTTCATTTTAACCTAATGGAACTTTATTTCTGATAGATCGCAAGACAACAGCAGCAACTTCTTCAGCAGCAGCACAAGATTAATCTCCTGCAGCAACAGATCCAGGTCAGTGTGTTTTATTATCTCATCTGATCACCCAATGTGCTCCTCCTTGAAAATGGAATTTAAGGCATTGTAAATGCACACCTGTCTTATCAACAGTGCCAGTGTGGCTGTTACTCAAGGGCGATGCTGTCTGTACACAGTTGTTGTCCAAGGAGACAGCCCGGTGGTGGTCATAGCATTCTCAGGTGTGACGTGTGAGTAGAATACACCTACACACCCTTCTCAGCCTTGCCTTCTTCCATTTGCCCTAAAGCCACCAAGCTCTTGGTTTCCAAGGCAGCATACATAGATGCTGTTTTCACTGCTAAAAGCCACTTTCTGCTTTGTGTTTTATTATGTAATAGGGCCACAGAGAGAAGATTACTTTTATTTACTCTTTAGGACTGGTTGGATCAATCCTGAGAACAATCTGGGAAAAGCCTTTTAATAATTAACTTCTTTCTTTGCAAGTACTAACTGCATTGTCTTTGGACTCTAAGGAAAACTGATAGAGCAATGGACAGTGGCCTGTCTTCAAGGAGCTTACAATCTAGACAGCAAGAAAAATGGTTCTGAATAATTGTAACCTATTTTAGGGAAGTCAAGTCATTATTTCTACTTATTTATTTTTCTAGCAGCAGTATAAAAATGTGCAGTTCATTACAGGGAAGGTCATGGTCTGATTTATGTTGTTCCTTTAGACACCTGATGATTAACTCGACAGCTGTTTCAGATACATAGGGAGAATGGCTTCTATTTCTGAATAGAAACCTGTGTGTGAATTGTAGAAAGTGCTAGAATAAAGCACTGGCTGTCTAGATTTAACTTCAGAACACTAATCCCAGAGCAATGCTTAGCCAACCGTAGAATTCTGTTTCTTGCTTGTTGTATTTTCTAGTCTGTTGGGATCTAGCCCACCACAGCTGAGCCAGTGTCTTCTGGAGTTTCTCAGCACTTTTGTTGAGAGGTTGATGTCCTGCCTTCTCGCCCTCCCCAAAGCACCAGTAACATAAACTCATAGCTTCCTCTAATGTTCAACTGTATTGATGAATCCCAGTGATTTTAACTTAGATCTTTGCTTCATTTTGTTACTCATTCTTAGTGTTCTGGGCACTGTGACTACACTGAAAATTCCGACCGTGTCTAGAGAGGTACCTCTCCTCAATTTAGTTTTTTGTTTCGGCAACTTCACTAGGAGGGAGGATTTAGCTGGAATGTGTCGTCTGGTTTGTTCTGATTCTGTATTCTGTATTCAAATCTATGTTTCAAAATCAAGGTAGAATGTCTTTTGCATTTTTGATGGTCAGACCTCACAATTCAATCTGGGAATAATTTCTCATCTTGATATCTCTTTCATGCCTCATGCTGAGGTTCTTAATTACCTAGCTATCCAGGTGTCCCCTTGTCTGCACTTATTAAAGTTTCCAGTGTGTTTCCTACTCCTGGGGGTAAGATTTTTAGTCTGTGGTTTCTTACATGTTTCTCTAGTTTTCTCCAAGAACTCAGGGGTGTTAAAGAACACAATCAGTTAGTTCCCTTTGTGGACACTCCTATAAGGGTATGTATTTATGTATTTCTAATATATTCTGCTTCTCCTCCAATGCTATTTATATCAACTGACTGCCTTCATTGACATCTCCCCTGCTATTGAAAATCTCTCAGATGAATAGCAGTCAGTTCATAGTATTTTTATGAAATATTATAGTTATTGATTACATATGGTTTTATCATTGTAACATGAAATTGATGTGTTTTAAGTAAATGTGGAATACAACCTTAAAATATTAATCTGAATACTCACTTTGAGAAGATAAGTATGGGCCTGGGGGACAGCTCAGCTGCTAAAGTGCTTGGCATGCAGCATGAAGCCCCAAGTTCCATTCCCAGAACCCTACTTGTAATCCCAGCGCTTGGGGAGCAGAGACAAGTGTATTCCTGGGGTTTGCTGGTTAACTAGATTAGCCTCAGTGATAAGCTCCAGGCAAATGAGAGACACTGTCTTAATAAAATAAGATAGTCAGCACAGGAGAAATAACATGCAAGTGTAGCTAGAGTTTTCCTGCCTTGCCCACAGTCAGGACAAATCTTTGTCACCTACCAGTCCCACAGCCGCTCAGACCCAACCAAGTAAACACAGAGACTTATATTGTATACAAACTGTATGGCCGTGGCAGGCTTCTTACTAACTGTTCTTATAGCTTAAATTAATCCATTTCCATAAATCTATACCTTGCCACATGGCTGGTGGCTTACCAGTGTCTTCACATGCTGCTGGTCATGGCGGCAGCTGGCAGTGTCTCTGCCTCAGCCTTCTGTTTCCCAGAATTCTCCTCTCTCCTTGTCCCACCTACTTCCTGCCTGGCCACTGGCCAATCAGTGTTTTATTTATTGACCAATCAGAGCAACAGATTTGACATACAGACCATCCCACAGCATGCAAGGTTGACTTCTGGCCTCCATAGGCACATACATACATGTATATGCAGGCCTCCCCGCATGTGTCTACTCAAACATTCATGTGCACACACACACACACACACACACACACACACACACACACACACACACAGAGAGAGAGAGAGAGAGAGAGAGAGAGAGAGAGAGAGAGAGAGAGAGAATATAAACTGTTTTCTAAGAGATTTTTAATTACCTGATTTTTGGCACATTTTTCATTGTTTAAATTTTTTAAAATTTAGCTAATCAGCAATTGAACTCAGAAATCCAAGTTATAAAACAACAGAGGTACACAATGCCAGTTTTAGGCTCACTTTAGAGATTTAGGTTTTTTTTCTACAAGAATCTATGCCTTTCAAAATAAGAGAGCAGCAAGGCTTCTGTTTACTGTTGCTTCTGTCCTGGGCTCCTGCTTCATGACCTGTCTTGTCAGCACTTATCTTATCAGTGGGAGACCATTCTAAGAATATTTCAAATGCTGAAAATACTCCTAACACAAAACATATTTATCTCTGACACTTACAAAGCAAGTTTTTATGTTCAGCCTTTTGGTTAGTTCTTTGGGAGAGTATATGAGTTAGCTGTATTTTTAAAGATAGTTTCTCACTAACCATAAACATAGTCTAATTTATAAGAAAGTTGAGTTAATTTTAATGTACTTTTAGAGGAAAAATGTGAGATTAAAGGCTAGTTCAATAATGCTTTTTTTAAATCACACAAAGGAAAACATGCTTCCATCTGAAACAGAACTAACAGGATGATTAAAAATTAAATCTAGCCTCTTAACTTTTTTTTTTCTGAGAGAGTCTCACTGTGTAGACCAGGCTGGTCTGGAACTCAGAGAGACCTGCTGTTTGTTCTGCTTCCCTAGCTCTGGGATTAAAGGCCACTTTAACTGCTTTTCTTAAAGTTCCCAATGACTACAAAGGCAATTTGAAAAGTTTAGCACTTTTAACCTTCTCCCATCTTGAGTCCTATAACCTGTTAGCACATATGTTCGGCAAGAATTACCTTCACAATCAGCTGTAGGTATTATGTAGCTATATTCAAGATGCTATTCTAGTTCAGTATGCTGGTTGGTTTTCCAGTTTTCCAAACTTTAGTAGAAAGGGGGAAGTGTCTAAACTATCTTAACAACTGCATACAAGCACATCTGGATCTATTTTAAGAGCAATGAATATAAACTTCGATGATTTGCCCAAATGAAAACCATGGTCTTTTATTAGAATTAGGAAAAGATATTATTGAGATGGTATTATAAAGTTCCCATGAGGAATATATGTATATATAAACACAAATATATATATATATATATATATATATTATATGTATGTATATATAAACACAATTTTGTGTTGGTGAATCCTAACTATACTTTCTAAGGAATTCTTCTAAGACTGTGTAAGTAGAGTTGAAAAATATAATGAATGATTTTGTGAACTTTTTAAATGGTTTTGATGAGCTAATGTTTACCATTTTTAAAAAATCAGGATAATAATTTAAATGATTATTAACACAGTTTAATATTAACAGATGCTGTTTGCCTGGTGAACTCAAATCCCTGTTTGTGTTTTGGGGGGAAATGGTGATTCCTCTAAGTTGTTACATATTAAATGAATCTTCTCAATGGAACCCAGGAAAAATCAGGCATGATTTATATCCCGAGACAGTAAGACCATGGAATGTAAAACTACGAGCTCAAGGAATGTGGCTCTTCCTACTTGGCAGTGTTGCTTCTTAATGCTGTAATTCCAAAGGAAGATAATGGCTTCAGTCATTTCAACCTACCTTCCCGACCAGATGCACTGTAGTACCTCAGCCAGGGCTCTGGGCACTTTATTCATGAGTTATGTGAACTTACATACAAAACCCACTTTTGATGTGTCTGATAGTTGTTACAGTGTTTTAATCAGCTAGTCAAGGGAGGGCTATGTTAGATGAAAAATATTTTATAAATCCAGATACTTTGATTTTCTTATGTATTTCTTTATCTACTCTCATTTGGCTGTATCATAGATTTGAATCAGAGGAGCCATTCCTGATGGATACAATATCCTATACTGTGGCACCTGTAATCTGTCATTAGGAATACATTTAATGATGGCTTCTCATGCTGCAACTTAGTCTTTGCAAGAGAATTCAGCTCATTAAAATATCTTTGTGAAAAAAACCTTATTTTTTCAGAAATGAATGGAGTGATCCAATTATCAAAGTCTTCTCAGACCAGGGTTTAGAGTCATTCAAGTGGCCTGTCTTCAGGACTGACTAAAGAATAGTCTCCTACAGATGAACTGGCGACTGGGATTTCCACAGGCAGTTGGCTTTCGGGACAAGAGCTGATGTGGTCAGTTCAGGCAACATATCTTCTTGAGTAAAACTGGGAAACTTGGAATTATTATCTCTCTATTTCATGATTACTATCCAAATATCCCTTGCCCCTGTCTATCATTCAGACACATGTTAGGTGGGAAACTCAGTCTGTAGCGAGCCAGAAACAAATGCCATGCTATTTCTTTACAGGGCCGTGTCTTGCCGGAATTCCTCTCTTTTCATTGCTATAGGACATG